TATGTGGGTTCCATATTAGTCTTTTGTCTAAAATGAATCCAAAATACCGAACTGTGTCTGAGACGGGAAGAGGTACAGAGTTGAAAAGGATATGTGGACAGGATCTGCGTCGGAGCGTAAAGGTGACATGCTTGCATTTGGATTTATTGATTTTGATGCGCCAAAAGACAAAAACTAAAATTTTCTTTTATACACTTAATTGATTCGCATAAAATTTTTGTTGAGAAACATTTTCCTGATCGTTTGAAAAATACTGACGAAAATTCTAGTCTGAGAGCTTACAAACTTTCAAAATCTGATTGGCTATTCAGATTAAATCACTTACTTATCGAATAATAAACAGTTCATACCAAATTAATGTCCAAAACAAAAGGATGTGGCATTAGAATAAAGGATACTCGCCCATAGTCAATAGACATCTTTTTATTGTTTTTTCTTATTATCTATTATTAGCTGTACTTTTGATATTTTTTTAAAATGAAGATGAGGATCCAGGATTGATTTTTCTATCACTCATTTTAATGAATTCATTTAACAGTGAATAAAACAAGTTTATAAATAGAAAATGCTCTACAAAAAAATTTTTTTTTTTTTTTTTTTATTTTTTTTTTATTTCTTTATGACATTTACAACTGTATTACATAAATACATCAAGTAAATTTGGACATAATTGATATAATGACATGAATACACTTGCTGAGTAACTACCCAATGGTAGCACTCTAATGATATGACTATATTAGGAGATCACGGGGCCATCTTCTTTTCAGACGCCTCGGAGGGTTATCAGGAATTGAAGAGGAAGCAAGGTTAGAAACGAGAGGGTTGGGATGATTCTGAAGTTTATTATGGAAGGATAGGTATCTGGATTGGGCCAGATCTGAAACATAAGGAACATTAAGATCTTTATGGATAATTTTATTAGTGACAAAGTAAGGAGCATTGAGGATTTTACGAAGGATTTTGGATTGTAAGGATTGGATGCGAGAGGAATTCGATGGTTTAGTGGAGCCCCATAGCTCAACTCCGTAAGTCCAAATAGGTCTTATTATAGTCAAGTATATAAGTCTTTTGTAATTAATGGGAAGTTTAGAGCGTTTGTCTAGTAAGTGCTGAAGTAATCGGAAACGTCGAGCGGTTTCTTGTCGTTTCAGTCTAGTATGAGGATTCCAAGTTAGTCGTTTGTCCAGGTGGAGTCCTAGGTATCGGATTTGCTCAACAGGGATAAGTGGAGTATTGTTAAAGGAAACTGTAGGACAGGAAGTCGTTGGTTTACGACGAAGGGTAAAGGTAATTTGGTGGGATTTATTGGAGTTTATTTTAATTCTCCAGTTTTTACACCATTCTTCCAGATTTATGATGTGTGATTGAAGCATTTGGGATGCAATTGCTGGGTCATTGTTTACTGATAGGATACATGTGTCATCGGCATATGTGGTGATGACAGTGTTGGGACAGGTAGGGATGTCAGCTGTATAAACTGTATAGAGGATAGGACCTAGGATACTACCTTGAGGAACACCAGCAGACTGGGAAAAAAGGGATGAATAGGCGTTATTGTGATTTACTTTAAAGTATCTATCAGTAAGGTAGGAACGGATAATGAGGAAGTATGTAGGTGGTAGGAATTTTCGGAGTTTGTACAGCAGTCCCGGGTGCCAAACTCTATCAAACGCCTGTTCAACGTCGAGAAAGACTCCCGTACAGTACATTCCGCGCTCCAAAAAAAAAATTTAAAATCATTTCCACCTTAAACAAGAAATCCTTAATTTAGGCGGAAAACTCAATCTGGCAACTCTGAGTGACCGAACATTCTGGTAGTTTCGCGAAGTCGATAGAAGTGACTTAATTACGGCCGATTTTACCGATTTTAATGGTAAAATACAAGGTAGGAACGTACGGAAATCATATATCACGATCCAATTAAAGGTTATGCTCATGAACAAATCGGAAATACTCGTCTATTATCGGAACTCCATTTACAGCCACAAACTCTTGTGAAGTAGTAAGTAGTAATAAATAGAAATTTACTAAAGTTATTCGAATAATACAAAAGCATTCCAGCAGGACTTGAAAAGTAGACATAATATTTAAACTAGCAAAAGTATAATATTGTAATTTACATCAAAGAGAATTAATTAAGTGAATCCTAAGTAGTGATGCCGAAATGCGAGACCTATACGAGTCTTGATCTTGCGCAAGGGTATTGCAACAGTCTTGCAGTTACCTATTAGCTTATTACTATAGAGATATTACTGTAATTTTTCAGATAGGGGAAACAAATCTAACTAAGAGCAAATGAAAAATTGGAAGAGTTAAATGCAAAAGTATATTAATGATATCAATTCTTTTCATACAGTAACTAAAATTGTTGAGTATCAGTGACTATTTTGCCTTAATTTTCACTCACAAAACGATTTTTTTTTTAAGCTTCTACCTATTGCTGTTCTACCTTTTGCTATCTGAAAAAGGACAACTGGGAAATCATCTCCCGACCTTTTTACTTACCTACCAAATGTGTCAGTACTTGAAAGCATTCAGTGCACGAACCACGGTTAGTAAGAGAAAAATCACGAACAAGACCCTACACCATGACCTTAACATCCCATATGTCCATGACATCATCCCATCCAGATTCTTTAACTTTCACCAGAACCTCATTCATCATCCCAATCCTCTAGCGCAATCCCTATCCAGCTCCGAGCATCCATACCATCCCCCTCGAAGGTTGAAACGGCAGTGGCCTCGAGATCATTTGTAAATATGCCTTTGGAGTCCTGGCAATGGCCAGCTTCTCCACTCATGTCCTGAGCGTCTGTGGCTCTAGTACCCTCTTTCAGTCTCCAATGGTTTCTAATACTAGTGATGCGGCTGGAAAAGTGGCGCTGGAATCTTCCGGAGTCTTGCTTTGCCTTCCACGTGTGGGGGAAAAAGCCTGGCTCGGAGATTCTTGGGCGAATGTATATATTGTTTATAGTATGATTGCGTTTAGAAGTTTTTATTTTATTTTATTTTTTTATTTTTATTTAACTTCTTCACCAGTATTATTTATTTACTTCTTATATTTATATTTATTTCTTTATTATTTGTATATATTGTATGAATGAGAACTTCTAGCCCTAATGCTTATAGCCCTCCAGCAGTGGCTGATTGTATTATTGTTCAATAAACAGATTAAAAATAAAAAAAAAGTAAGAGAAAAGATTACAAATTTTTATAAATAGATTATATATATTATTTTTAGTTCGTATAACTTTTTACAACTACATTTCATTTTTAATATTGTGTATTGCAATAATAATTAGGATTCATGTACCATCAATCACTATAGTTTATTACTATTATTAGGCTCTATAATATTATATCTCTGATTGTATTTTAAAATTTTCAGCCCTGATGATGACCCACATGTTTGGGTTGAAACGTTGGCACAAATAAAAAAAAAATATAATGACATCGTCCTGACTATTTATCATTCATGATTTTTTTTTTACTAATCTTGGTCTAGGTCTTACAACAGTTAGGCAGGCGGTCTTGGTCACCAATAATCCTAAGTAAAAGGGACACTTTTCTTTTAAAAGCGCAGAACATAATTTTTAGATTTTTAGTTTGCCTTAAGCAAATACGAACAGTGGCAATGGATCTTCAACAAACTTGTAAAATATCGTCTATCATTGGAGTCTAAAAATACGTTTTTACCTTGTTCGTGCATTAAGGATTACTGGTACTGGTCTATTGTGGATGACAAAAAAGTTGCAAACGTGAACCTCTTTAGATTCAATAGCCGTCCTTTAAGAACAACGCTAATGAAACGATAAAAGTTAATGAAGCAATGCAGGCGATTTGCAGGAGTTGATGGAACAATTATACACTTCTCTCCCCCTTACTAAGGAACAATAAGCGACTCACTATTAAGGCAAATTAATTCAAAATAGTTCTTACGTCGGAATACCTTTCAAGTGGAACCTTGGAAATTAAATCCAATGTTTTTGTATGATTTTAACTGTTCCATAAAATAATTATAATTTGGTTGTCGGTTTTTTTTTTAATGCAAAAAAAAACTAATGGAAATAAATATCAAGACAATTTTCATTTGTTATCAATGATAAAATAATTGCTAATATTCGAGATTCATAATTTTGTTTCCGTAATAAACATATTATTCAAATTACAAAAACCTTCTTCAAAATATATAAAAAACATCAAAAGTGTCTTTTAATTTTTTTTAAGTCAAAGTCATAGAAAATTTTATCTTTTTCATAACTTTTATGAAATTTTCGTACTTATATTTATTTTTTTCTTCTTCACTATCGAAGATATGGTAGATCTATATTCATGTATAAAATATATACATAAAAAAAGAAAATGGTGCTTTGATGTGAAAATTTCCATCATATCAAATAATTAAAACACCGTGAAATTCGGTCTTTCTGTATGTTATAAAAGTCATGCCTGTGACGAAATAATTTGCATTTAACATATGTTTTATAATAGTGTAATTAATTCCTTGTTGGTGATGTACTGAGGAGTAAACTGTTGAGCCTAAGCAAATTTGTAGATTGGGATTTATATATATATATATATATATATATATATATATATATAATAAGCATGGCTTATTGCTTGCATTTGTTTTTTACCACCGGACTCCTTTATCCACAATAAACTACTTGTATAGTGCATGTATCACCAAGTGGTTGTTAAATTCCCATGCATCAACCCCGTACTCCGTAAATGATCAATTACGAGAAAAAAAATAAAAACAGAAAATGTCCTATACATTAATAACTGTATGTATCAAAAAAACACTACTGTGTTTTTTCATTGTTGAAACTCCTTCACCGTTGCTAAATCTTTGTTGAATCAGGTAATCTGTGATCCTCAAATACCTGAGCGTTCCGTTCTAAGACCCTGATTAGATCTCAGCGATCTCGGATTACTTCGAGACATAAAAATGCTATAAAATCAAAAATAATGTAACATAGAGGCAATTCACTTACTTAACTTCGGATTTGTCTTCGGGGTTAACTTTCTTTGTACCAAACGTCGAATCCGGGACCATGTACAGGTAAAAATCGAACTCCAGTTCCTGGGACACTGACTCTAGGAGGTCCATAGCTAGGCCGTAACAGCAGGAGACCTTTACTGTGTATCTGTGGGAGTTGACAAATATTATTATTAACACATATTTAAAAATATATATTTTTTATAAATATATTCTACTCTGATTAAAATTCTCCAATCACTATTTTAATAATTTAAATTGTCAATTTAATGTATTTAAAAGAGGAATGAAAACATATAGTGTAGAATTTTAATGGTGCTACTAAAGAAAAAATAATCAGAAACTTGTTTGAAAATAATCCGTTAATTCTATGATCAGTAGTAACTAGGAAATGTTTCAAAATTAAAATTTTGAATGTCAAAGAACTTAAGTTATATATAGTAAGCAAATATTGAATAAATAGTACTCTAGAAAAAAAAACTTCATGAGGTACTGTTAGAATGCAGAGACAGTAAAAGTTTTAGAACCCCTGTTGTATAATATAACATGTAGGCGGGGAACCTTTTTTGATATTGTGGGTATTATATAATACCTGAGAAATATTAGTTCAATTAAATTTTTTTATCTCAGTAATAAGTTCCTTAGTTTATAATGAAATAGTAAATTTTTTAGATTACAGTAATTATTGAGGAAATTTTAAATTTCTCTATTTTATATGTTGATCGACTTGGTGGCCTGTTATCATCCGGAACTCTGCCACAGCAACCTTTCTCGGCAGATTCATGGGAACTCATCCGCTTAAACAAATTTCTCCACTGCTTTTCGCAATACAGCTCTTTAAGGAATCCAGTAATAGACCTTCATTGGCCTTATTTATTCGTTTTTTGGATCTCTGATATGATATTTCATTTTCTGACTGGTCCAATATGGATCCCTCCTTGGCGAATTTGTCAGCCATTTCGTTTCCATGGAGACCACAGTGACTTGGTAACCACTGAATGAATACCTCTGTATTCTTTTACCTCAGTATTTTAAATAATAAATGTTAATATTTTATTGGTTTTTAGTTGTCCAATTAATATAAATTTACTTCCATCCTTTGGTTTTATATTTAAGCTTTATTTCTATCTTTCGATTTATTGTTTCTAGAAATAAGTTTTGGTTTCATTTAATGACACATATTAATAAATATACACATATTTTATTATAAAAAATATGCAAGGTGTCCCGTAAATAGAGAGAAGTTTTTTGTAGGAGTGATATTAAGACCGCAAGAGCTACAAAAAAAGTTCATATTAACAATGGGCCAATTTTCAGCAGAAAATTAGTATTAGGTTTTTTTTTATTTTAGACAAAAATTTTATGTAAACATAAAAAAAGGATTAGAAAATTATTTTGTCACTCACAAACAGAAAACACTTCCTACAATAGGGATCTCAATGAAAAATATAGTTGATAATTAATTTTGACGAAAATCTTTGCAAAATCAGTATTTTCGCGAATTAATTTTATTTATAGTGATGTAGAGATGGTTGACCGTGGTATAATATGAGAGGGAGTTGGTCGGGGGGTGCTATAAAATAAATACTAAATTTTTAAAAAATATTATTTTTTAATACAGTGGTTGATGCCACGCCCTGATGATGACCTATAAAGTGGGTCGAAACGTCGGCGTAACAATTAAAATGCTATTTTTTTTTAAATTTATATTTATTTATTTGACCGCACCTCCCGACCGACTCCTTCTCATTTTATTTATAAATAAAAAGTGTGTTTTTGCAGTTCGGTTTATTAAAATATAATCCAGATCATGAGAAAACTAGAAATGAAAGCTTTGCAACAATTAATTGTAGTCATTTTTTCTTAAAACAGAGGTACTTTTAATTGACGGGATAAAAAATATCATAATTATATTAAAAACTGAAGCCGAATCTAAAAAAATTTCCTAATAAACCGCAACCTAATTAATACGAGCTTAAAGTCTATTAAAATAATAAGTTTTTTGTAAAAGTAGGGAAACTTTAGTATTGTTGGATGGTGATAAAAAATAAATAAATAAATAATAAAGCGAATAATTTATGATTTTTCTAAAAACAGAACTTAGCTTAGTTTAGCCACTCAAAAGTTCTTTGTAATTGGTTTTAGTAGTAATAAACTCTATTTCAATTTAAAGTAAATTTCATTTTTTTTATAATGAAACAATTATTAATTAATTAAATTGAATAGTTCTTTAGTTATTGCTTTCGATTCAGTAAAAAAAATGACTCAGATTATAAACCACAGAACTTCGAATTTTTAATTTTTACTGAAAATTGGCCCATTGTTTATATTAACTTTGTTTAGCTCTTGATATCTGCTATCACTCCTGTAAAAAAATCTCTCTATTTATAGGACACACTGTATAGATATTGGAAGTTACATCAGAAAGAGTGTTACATCCTGTATTGACCACATTTTCACTCTGAGACAGCTATTAGAGAAACATACCGACAAATCAAAAAGACTAGATTTAATTTTCATTGACTTGGAAAAGGCATGCGACAGTGTACCCCGCAAACTATGGGAATACTTGAGGAAGGCTGGAATAGTCCAAGGAATTGTAACCTAATTAGAGAAATTTATACAAATAGTAGGTGCCAGATGAATAGTGGCTCATTAATGTCCAGAGAATCCAAAAACGAAAAAGTGTTACAGAAAGGTTGCTGCAAGTTACCCATTCTATTTAAAATATATTTTTACGAATGCCTAAAAGGATGGGTGAAGAAATGTGAAAAATGGGAGCCGAGTTGGGGAAAATGGGAGAAAAAAACCTGTACCATTTATTATTTGCTGATGACCAGATATTAATGGCACAAGATGAAGAGGATATAAGTTACCTTTCGGGGCGGGGTGGCCGAATAGGCTAAAAAGTGTGCACCGCTAGTTGCCTGGTAACCGGATAACAGAGATTTGAGATGATATAAAAAGTACGAGTTCGCGTCCCGGTGCCGGAGGGGATTTTAAATTCCCCGAACTCACCCCCCGGCCGGACATAAGTTACCTATTCTAAAAAAAAAAAGATCATAATCAACAAGGAGGCCTCCAAATGATTTACAACAAAACTAAATATATGTGCACGGGTAAAGAAGAAAGCGCCGGCCTAACATTACGCAACCCAAGTAAAATGGAACAATTTTGTTATTTGGGGTCCGTAATTGAATGTAATGGTAGACCAGAGATAGCAATAAAAAAAAAAAAGGATCACAAGTGGTAAAAAAAGCAGTGGGAACGCCTAACTGTTCACTCTGGATCAGCAATATTCTAATAAAATAAAAAAAGTTAATATCAAAGCTTTATGTTATGGTAGAAAGCTTAATGTTATATGGTTCGGAGTCAAAGCCCCTAAGTGTAATGCAGGGAAAAAAAATCTTTCAATTGAAATGGAATTTCGTAGGAGGGCAGCTAGGATATCGAGGATAGAAAAGTTAAGAAACGCTACAATAAGCGAGAGACCGCAAATAAAACAAAATATCCTAGAGGTGGTAGAAAGGAGACTCAGATACTATGGCCATGTGAGACGAATGGGTGATGATAGAATAGCAAAGATAATTATGGATTGGGAGGCAGAGGGTTGAAGAAGGACAGGAAGACTCCTTAGTTAGATGGAAGGATAGTGGTGAAGAGCATAGCTGATAAGGAACCGTCTAAGGAAGATGCGATGGACATGGAGAAACTTTCTGAAGCAGGAGTTTGGTTGAGGAAAACGTCATACTGAAGAAATTCCTAAAGAAAAAAATGTATATATATTTTTTTTGGTTGGCACTACAGACCATGAAGATGTCTCAGGCAGAGTGGCTTTCCTTGGTGGACGGTCACCTATCCAAGTGGTCGTGCACACGCTCGGCGTTGCTTAACTTTCATTACCATATAACAAGCCTCTTAGTCCGGAAGGTTACCCCAGACCCATATATACGTATATATATATATATATATATATATATATATATATATATATATATATATATATATATTGCTATGTATTGTAAAGACCGTCGGTGGAATAATTAGTTTAAAGGTATAAACAAATAAACATTAAGGTAATTTAGGTATTACCTAAATATAAACATATTTAGGTATAAACCCAACATCTGGCGGTTGGGTACCTGAGGGAGGGTAACCCATTAGGACAACCTTTTGTAAGTGGTAATAAAAACCCTTAAGGACCACCGACAAAGACCGACAACTAAGTGTTTAAAAAGGATCCCGAAAGACCTTTTCACACCTTCCACCAGAAATACCTAAGTCTGTACCTGCTGGCTTTACCTTGGCCTGGGGGAGAGGGCGTGGTCATCCCTTAGGCTGAGGATATTCAGCGAATCAGGAAAAATGCTGCCAAAAGAGAGGGGGATGAAAAAAGGTGGGAGATAGAGAATTTGGACTGGACACTTCTTTTTGGAACTCGGAGGAGAGAGGACTTGCTTCTGGGGACTTCAAGCGGGGAGTCGAGGGAGGAAGATGAAGACAGCCGGAGAGAGCAGATGGACGGACTAGACGCTGAAGGAGAGCAGAGACAGGGAATCCAGATATGACAGCTAGAAACACTATGAAGGACCAGCTAAGTGGTAACAAGCATTTAGTTATACTAATGTAAATTTGTGTTGGCAACCATACATCATTAATTAATAATCAAATAACACGTAACTTAATCAAATCAAGCATTCTCCTCTAGTATGATTCTTAACTATTCATTATGTATATAGGTTTAGTTATTATTTTGTATATAGATGTTTTTGGTTTTATTTAAGCTTGTAAATATAATAGTTAGTAAACCAACGTAGTACTTTTACATTCTACCTTGCATGCCACCAATTAGTAATAGAAACAAATAGTAAATTTATAAACATGATACCTTTAGAAAGGAAATCCAATCAAAATTATATGGTCCAATCTAGGATACTACAGTAGGGGGTCTGTGGTATCTAACATTTAAATACATCATTAATATATTTTAGATTGATCGGTTCCCTTCTGGGACCGATATAAATACAAATAAATGCGGCTCCTGGAACCCCTTACTCGCCGTAGAAACGCGAGGCCAGGAACATAGCATTTAAAATGGCATCCCATGTGAAGGACGTATCATTAAATTTACTATTTGTTTCTAAGATT